GTTTGAATATACTGCTATATTTGTTTGAATTTTTTTCCACTCTCTCTTTCTGACCTTCACCATCAATCAGGATGGATAAATTTATAAAACAATGGAAGTCCAAGAAGGATATCCATACAGAAGAAGACTCAGACTCAGTCTCAGTGCAGCAAGAGACTCAATCAGAGTCTATAGAGAGTGTAGCTAAAGTTAATAGAGATCCAGAGACCTTAACTAGCCCCTCTGAAAATAGTGAGATCTCTGATGATGATAATGATAACCCAGAACAAGATGACTCAATCAGACCAATCAAGTTTGGACCAGGAAGATGAAGTGTATAATTCAGAAGACATCCAAAATCACAAAAGAACCAAGAAAGCACTTAAATAAAGGGACCGCAAGAAACGTAAATCTGGCTTTGACCCTGACTGGAAAGAACGTTTTGATTGGCTACCCGAATCAGATGACTACAAAGGTAAGTTTTTGCTCAATAAATTTTTTTGTGAATAAAACAAAACTAATATACGATTTACTATTAGCGATTTTCCGATTTTTTTTCAATTTACAATTCTAAATCGATGCAGTTTCCTACAAATTAGATGATCATATTAACAATAAAAAAAAGGTTGAGATGGCATCACTCCTACCATATTGTGTACCCCTCTGGGCCTATCCCTTTCTGGATACTGAATAATAATGAAATATAATATTTACAAATTACAGGTATGATATGCACCCTCTGTGAGAAACACAAGCCAAAAGCTGATGTGAAGATCTGGGTATCTGTACCTTGCAGAAGTATTACAGAACAGGCTGTGAAGAGGCACCGGGACTGTGACATGCATACTGCAAGTGAGGGCAAGGAGGTAGAGAACCGAACCCAAGGCCCCATCGAGGAGGGGTTCGGCAAACAGAAGAGCCTACAGAGGAAAGCCCTGGACGGAGCCCTGAAGACACTGTATTGGTTAGCCAAAGAAGAGGTGGCACACACGACAAAATATGCCGACTTGCTGGATCATACAATAGATATGGGGTGCCAGTATTTGAAGCACCTTGACCAGGTTAGTTGCCTTCATCTTTTCTAGTATGCATTCAAATTAGAATAGTTGTGAGTAAAGTGGGCTGTAAGTAATAAACTTTTCTTTGTACTATTCAATATATAAATTGTATTTCAGGGGGATAATGCCAATTATCGCTCCATTGCCAGCCAACAAGAAATGATACAGACAATGGGGGATGTGATCAGAAGGGGGATTCTTAAGGATATGAGGGCCAGCCCCTATTTCTCTATGCTTATCGATGAAACTACCGATGTTGCCGTCTTAAAACGGCTGATCATATACGGTCGGTATGTGACCAGCACCTTTAAGGTAGGTACCATCATCATCATCATCATCCACCAAAAATGTAATAGTATTATATATTAGAGTGGGGAAGGCAGGGTACATTTCTAAATTCATGGGGAAAAAAATGTATCAGGTTCACATCTTCCTGGAAAAAAACTCCTAAGAACTATATTTGATAACAAAATAACTGAACAAAGCACTTTTGATTTTTAGGTGGAGACTGTCTTCCTGAGCCTGTTGGATATTAAAGATGGCACAGCAGCAACGATCCATGAAGCCCCGCTGGGGTTCGGCCACAAGTGTGGCCTCAACATGAGGCGACTGGTTGGGCTGGGTTCCGATGACGCCTCAGTGATGGGCGGAAAACATAATGGGGTAAGTTACTTTTATAGTCAACTAATTATACATGATCAAGTTAACTGATAATATTAAATTGTTTAATATACATGTTTAAAACATTTAGCAACTAACTTATTTTACAAGATTTTAATTTTCCAAGTACAAATCATATTTAACAGGTGCTTTACAATTTCTTAAACCTCTTAAATAAATTGGCTTCTATCAACTAACTTCAAGATATATTATATTCTAGGTGGCAGCTCTGCTGAAGCGGGACTTCCCCCAAGTGAAGAGTGTACACTGCATGGCCCACCGCCTAGCCCTGGCTGCTGGCCAGGCCTCTAAAGGAATCCCATATATGGAGAAGTTCAAGAGTACTTTAACCCAACTGATCTATTTCTACCAGAACAGTCCCGTACGAATGGCTGGTCTTAAAGCTATTGAGGTATTTTAACACATTTAAATCATAATGAAATGAACAAAATGATGAAGCCCTATTATGATAGATAACATTCATGTAAATAAACTGAGTAATATATAATAAATTGTTAATGCTATAGCATAATTAATTATTTAATTCTTTGTTTATTTTTCTCAGGAACTTCTACAGGAGCCTAGCTTGGAGGTGGCGAAGGCAACAGATGTACGTTGGCTAAGCCATGATAGAGCAGTGAGGAGCCTTCGTCAAACACTAGCATCTGTGCTTCCTAGCCTAGGGAGAGAGTATAAGGAGAGGCATGATCCAACTGCAAAGGGCCTTCTCTTGTTCTGCAGTAAATTGTACTTTGTGGCCTCCCTGTTGATGATGTCAGATGTCTTGCCTCTATTGGCAACACTGTCCAAATGCTTTCAGGTATAAACTAACTATGAAAACAGATTAATTTAAATCATTGTCTTAAATTATTGTACTATTTACTGCTTCTAACACATTCTGCATTATATTTAATGAATGGTTGTTGGTGTTTTGTTTGTTTTAGGCAACCAGTGTCGACCTGACCATAGTGGCAACAAGAGTTGAAACAACTATGACTGCCCTGCGGTCCTTGAAGGGAGGAAGAGGTGATTACATGAAGAGCATCCAGACAAACATCACCAACCTGAATGAGCCCACTATCAAGTATGACCAGCAGAAAGTGGAACAATTTATCAGAACAGTAAGTGTAATTTTTTTATTTATCATAATATTTTCACATTACTGTAATAAAATATTAATTATTGGAATCATATTAGATTCCAATATTAATCTTTACTGAAACTAGGATTGTCCAATGTCTAATAAAGAAAATTGCCATACAGATACAAAATTATAACATCTACATCCACCACCGATAATATAGTCATCTAATTAACATATGTAACATATTTGACAGACAGCGTTATGTGTATTTCAAAAGTCATATATCCACAAACCTTTCTATGTGAATTGATTAATAAATGTCATATATTCAATATTTGGTTAATATTTTTCTGTTTTTCTCAAAACTTGAAAATATGACTTAGGCCATTATTTTAGGAAGGTGACGATATATTAAAGTCTCATATGTGTCTACGCTCGCGCGCCTCTGTATTTGTGAGTATCTCTTCGGGCACGTACATGTAAGATAGTAGTGCATGAGTCATACTGCAATGAGTCAGTATTGTACGATAGGTTTCATGTTCCTACCACATCCGAGAAGGCAACATGTACCCACGCGCGCGTGCGTGTGTAAGCCTACACGTGTTTATATCTATTAACACCGCGTTTGTGACTCACTGACAATGCTCATGACTCTAAACTATTAATTTTATTTATTCTGATGAAACTAGTGAGTGCTGCTATGACAGAGGCTATAACAATCATTTTAATAAATGCCAATACTAGGTGGCAGCACCTTCAGTCAGAGTATATTTCCACCAATAGTAACATATTTACACAGTTATTGTTAAATGTTTGTTTTGATAAAATTCAAGAAAAATTGCTTTTTAACTTATAATGTATATATATCAAAATTTCCATGACTTGGATCCATAAGCATGGGAACATCTTCTAATCAGAATCCATCGCCAACTTAACCTGAAGTTAAAATGGAAGGAGTGTTCAATTATCATTCCTAACAGTGGTTTTAATTACATGTAGATAGCAGTCACTAAAGTAAATAGAGTATCACTAGAGAAACACAATGTGGCTGGCCAACAAATACTTTAATCGCTGGATGCTAATCCAAACCTAATTAATAAACCGTTAATAGTTATTTCATTTGATAAAGCAAGACATTCCTCAGTATTCATCACTGACCACCTAGGGTTTACATGCTTTTAATCAAATCCAGTAAATGCTAGCCACAAAATTAACTAATAGGTAAAAGCAATTGATTAATCCATTAAATAAATATGTGAAACATGTAAAAAACATTAAATAATTTTAGTACATACATTTTGCACATACTCCCTCATGCCTCCACACAATGCAGCATTCGTGCCACCACTGCTTGCATGTGGGGCACTCCAACCAATCTATGAATTTCCGACCACGTTTCTTTCTTCCATTGCATGGACATTCTATATAATTGAAAAAACGTTGGGAGCAAATAAATGT